CCTGTCTTTCTGTTGTTCAGTCTTAAAGTGCGTCGGCCTTGACTTGTGTTCGATATATATATTCTTTATAACTTTCAACGCATCTAAGTTATTTGCCGGTCACAATACCGCAAACATGCATGTTCAATGTGTTTAAATTGTGACGATGTTAGTTTTATATGACATGTTTAATAATATGGAAGAAGTTCCTGYGCCTTATCATATTTTAGATTTATATTATTTTCATTTCGTCTACCAATTGAATGGGATGAAAAATTAATCAAGGTCTGRTGGTTGCCCGCAGCTGCATTGGGCCATATYCATTGACAATTTTCCAAGATGTATTTTAAGCGTTGCCATGTATGTAAACTTGTTTGCTCTTGAGAGCAAGAACTTTTGACTTTCCCTCCTCAGGGGGAGAAACCAGATTCTCCAGGAYCCACGCCTCTCTYMATCACTTTTTCAACACTGAAACCAGTATAGAAAATAATTCTTTGTTGGTTTGGTTGTTTTACCTACGCATTGTTTTSATAGATGTTCCAGTAATGAAGAAGTCGCTTTTTAACTCTTTAAATAAAAGAAAACTTTTAATACCGGATACTGACGCGSCACGAAAACACTTGATCTTTCTTTAGGAAATGTTGTAGCTTTACGCATATCAGTGTTATACAAGGAGCGGTTTTCTTTTGCCCAAGCTGTTTTTTTTTATAACTTCTTGACTTCATAATAAGAAACACTTAAGGCAATGAATATGACAGAAGCTATATGACAGTTGCCGACCTGGACAGAGATTAATTAGGCAAAACACAGGCGGCCCCAGTTAAGCATCGAGATATGTTTTTGAAATTAATAAAAAGGTTGCTTTAAGTTACTTGATAAGTCGTGTGTTTAAGTACAACGTCTTTTAAAAAAAATTAAAATTGCTTCTTGGGTAATTATTAAATATGGAGGATGAATTCTTTATTCACTATGCTATCCTTTTTTAAAAGACGTTGTACTTAAACACAGGAATTCAAAGTAAAAACAAGAAAAATTGGAAATACGGTAGCGAAGGCAAGGTAAAATAT